AAGCAATAAAAGAACTGAACTTGGTTGGACTGTTTCCCTGTTGTTCTTGAGCTGGGCCTGACAGCAGCTAAGTGAATCACACAGTTCCCCATTGATTTTGGTTGTTGGAAGCCAGCTGGGAAGGTCACAAATGGTAATCTCATGACGCCGGGAGGCTGTAACCATCGTAAATACATGCTGGTTGCCAAGCACCCAAATTTTGATCACATGGCCGCGGGGATGCTGCAATGGTTGTAAGTGCGAGGAATGGTCATAAGTCACTTTCTTCGGCGCTGTCGTAACTTCGAACAGCCGCTAAGTGAATGGTCATAAGTCAGGGACTACCGTAAAAGCATAAAAGCCAGCACAAAAACTCCCAGCACCCCCAAAAACAACAATCCCAAATCCACTCACAAACAATTTTATTGGACTCCAGCCTCACATGACCCCAGCGCTTGTGGGAAAAGCCAGGTTTCCAAGGCTTTTTGGAAGGCTAGGAGGAGGCAGGGTAGGGGCCTGCTGGACCTTGGTGGGAAGGGTATTAAAGGCCCCAGGCAAGGAACCCCTCCCAGAAGTGGTTTGCTATCACCTGCTTCTTCTTCAAGGCTGAGAGGGAGGGACTACTGACTCTAGGTCACCCCGTGGCTCTGGGTCTCCTGGTTTCTAGCCCAGTACAAGAGTTTAACCTTTAAAATGGTTACTGAGTCCAGACATTGTATGCCTTGTGTGGCTGAGTTATGTAAAAGACTGTGACTGTCTGTAATCCTTTGTATAAAATATTTAGTCTTATAGTATAATTAAGGTATATAGGGGTTTTGCTTGTTTGTTTTTTTGGGAAAAGGGTTCTATAATGAATGCTATAGTAACTTAGAAAAGAAAAGCGTGATTCTGTAGCTTGGCTGTTTTGAGGCTAATATAATTATAAAATCATTTCTAAGGTGCTAATAGAATATGTGACTGAAAATCTATAAAATTCTGGAAGCTTGGTCTGTACTTTGGTTCTGTTTTGCTTTAGATAATTTGCTTTTTTAAAAGAAAATGAAAAATGGCAGGCAAATATTACTACTGAAAAGGAGTGACTGTTCTGAATTGGGATCCATTGTACTGTAGGTGCCCATTGCTTAGAAAGATGCCATGCTAATATTGGCCAAATAAATGCATTCATTTTGAATATTTAGGGTTGCACAGTTGACATGGCTCTTCTCCACTTAACCCCATTTTCCCTTTTTTTTTTGCATAATTCATATATCGTAAAAATAATTATATGTTCAAATCCGCAGTGTAACCTCTTATTCATTTTTATTAATTAATCTGTTCCTTTAAAATGTAGACAATTTATTTTCTAATGAGTTCATTTTTGATGTGCGCAAACATAGCTTCCCTCTGTTTCATTGTCATCTCTGAACAAAGACGGCATCGTCAACCACCTGATTTGTACATTAGGACAGGAGGCCTTTGAAACCTATGTGACCTAAAGCTGTTTGCCCTGTTTTCACTTTGGTATCATTTGAAAGCGTTTCTGCAGCCCAGCGTTTTTCTACAGTGTGGCAAACAGTGTAAAAACTAGTTTTGTTCACTTTAAAATACAGCAGATAGCATCACCAAAAAGAACGAGCATATAACTTTCTATACATCATGATACAGTAAATGCATAAAAAATCTCGGGCAGGTTTTGTATATCTTACTTCCTTCATTTTAAATCAAAAGTTTCCTGTTACAAATAGGTGGCTGAATGCCCACATCCAGTTTTTATCCCTCGGTCCCCATGCCTTGTGCAATAAATCTTCACAAAGTGGCAGACTGACTTTCATCTGATTTGTGATAAGTCTGGTCCTCTTGTTCAGCGAGGGGAACGGGAACTCCCCTCGCATCAAAAGCATTGAGCTGTCTAAAAGACTTTTTCTGTTCTGTGAATGGCATGACACACTACATCAGCCATTAGAGTTGGCAGCTGAAACAATTCATTTTAGCAGATAGTTGCTCCTGTGGTGTATGCTGACGAAGTACTCAGCTAATACAGTTCCATTTTTGTAAAAAGAAATGAGCATTAGGTTACAAGGATGCAGGAATAGGGGAAAAAAAACAAAACCCAAAACCAGAAAATTGTATGTGTCTCTGATTTCTTCTGCTGTTGTGAAAATTGTTGAATTCTCTATTGATACTTGTCTGTCTTAAACTTTACATAGAGTATCTTTAATACTAGCCAAGGAGACAGGGATTTGGACTTATATCCATGGACACCTAACCCTTTCCCCCCTCAGGTGAGCCTTTGAACTTTCTGAACTTCTGTCTCCCACTGTAGCTGGCCTTGCAAAGGATGAGACGTCTCTCGGGGGGGGGGGGGTTCAGACTCTCTGTCTTCAGGAGCCCCCTTCTACTGAGGACAGAGCAAACCACATGCTGCAAGCTTATGTCTGTTAGCCTCTTGCTCTTCTGTCCTGCCGGAGTTGAGCATGCACCCCAGAACACTGGGTTGGTTTGCCTTCAAAGATAAAGAATAGCGTTGCATTCCTGTTAGTAGCCAAGTAAGTTCCCGTCGTGTCTTTGGGATTCTGTCGGAGGTCCTTATCTGGTGCCAGATTCGCAGATAAGTCCTGGCCCGTCCCAGATGTCAGGATCACGTCCACTGCCTGTTCCACCCCAGCTCCCATTTCCCTTCCAAATTCTTCATTCCTGCGTGACTGCTTTTTGCCAGGTCACAGTGTTGTATTTTTAGTCTTATGCCAGTGTTTTTTCAGAATGATAGATGAGTGTTTGCTTTATTCATAGCAAATGTTTCACATTTTTGTGTACAGAAGTAATTCAGGAAGAACGGCCAGTTCATGTCCCGTTGTATAAGAAAACCTGCCATTAATACATGTGATCCTCTTCTAGGGCGGACCTTAGTTATGGCAGCTTATAAGAGAGCATAGCTGAAAAATGCAAGGGCATTATTAACAGGTTGTTCTGGTTTTTGTTTTTTGTTGTGTTCCAAAATTTTCAGGAGTCTAGATCTAATGCAGGGGACTTTTTCAAAGACCTCAACTCACCCTGTCCTCAGGAAGCAGTCATGCACGAGCCAGATACGCCATTCCTTCGTGGTGGGCCTGGACTGTATAAGGTAGTGAAGACTGGCCCGTCAGGTCACAACGTCCGAAGCTGTCCCAACCTTAGAGGTATCCCCATTGGAATGTTAGTTCTGGGAAACAGAGTCAAAGCAGTGGGCGAGGTAGGACTCCTGGAACTTCCCTTCTTACCTTTATAGATACTGCCTTGCAATCACAGCAGCCCTTAAGCAGAAACTGCTCTCCTTCCCAACGTTAACTTTTCCTCCCTGCATTGCCAGGGTCCTGGATTTCTGTCATCTCCCATTAATTCAACTGCTGTTTTTCTTGTGTACTTGTTTTTAGAATAGAGTTAATTCATTAAAAAAACACACACACACCTGTCCAGAGTATTTCTCTTGCAGAGTTTGCTAATGAATTATTTTTGGGGTGCCGCAAAAATTATCTTGTTTCTTGGAATTGATGTAACTATTGCATGCTTTGGTGCTCTTCTCTTGCAATGGGCTTGAGGATGTAGTGTGTCATGCTATTTTTTCAAACAGCATCCAGGACATAATAGCACTTTGTGAATATTGAATACCTAGAATCTTTTTCAGGCTTTCTCTGTTTCAAGCTTCCAAAAATGAAATGAAATGAAATGAAATGAAATCAGAACTGCCACAGAGCTTTCTAAATTTTCTGATTCTTTTTCTTCTTCTGAACATAGTTCAATTTAATGTGTTCAAAATACTAATCTCAAGCTTCCTATAAATGCATGCCATTTTTTATTCTTCTTTATTCTTTGGAACTTAACTGGAATAATACATATGTGCTGCTTTTCCATGACAAGAAAATGAGGCTCTTTTTCATATGTGGAATCGTTTTGCTGCATCTCATGATAAATAGCAAAAAGTAAGTTAAACCTGACCTTCTTCCTATGTGTGTACACACCAGGTGACTAATTCTGAAGGGACGTGGGTGCGGATGGACAAGAACAGCATGGTAGAGTTCTGTGAGAGTGACGAAGGGGAGGCCTGGTCTTTGGCTCGAGACAGAGGCGGAAACCAGTATCTCCGTCACGAAGATGGCAAGTGCCCTGACTTTTTACACAGCTATCTCTTTTGAGGGCTTTAGAGCTAAGTGCACAGCACCTGGAGGAGACATAAATCTGACTATTTTATAAAAGGAAGCGTGTGTGCGTGCGTGCGTGTGTATGGCATTATTGAAACGATTTCAGAATGCATTCATACACCTTCAGTAGGAGCAGGAGTCAAGCCGTCTTGTCTGGGAGAAAGCCAGCAAAAGATTACTTGAACGTAGCGCTGAATGGCAGCTAACAGTTTCTAAGAAGGAAAGGAGTCGCAGGCTAAGAGGGCCCCCTCTCCTGCCCACTTGCTCTGATGCGGGTGCTTTGCCCTCGGCACAGTCTGACTTTGGGCAGGGATGTGTCAAAGGGACTAGCCGAAGGTCTCAGGGCCAACTGCAGTCCCGGGGATGTCTTCTCCGGGTCGTGCACAGGAGATGCTCCACCTTCAGGCATCCTGCAGACGGGGCACCAATGTGTCTTTTGGTATCCCAGCTCTTTGAAGGATTGACTTGTGAACAGGACAGAAGTCTCCCTTTCATGCAAGCTTCCTTTGACGCTAGCATCTCCTGCTGACACGTAATCAGTTTGGTCTAAACCAGGCTTGGGTTTGGGTTTTTTTTGGCTTATTTCTTTGTTTAAACAGAGCAAGTTCTTGTTGATCAGAATGGCCAGACTCCTCCACCAAGCCCTTTCTCGCTGCAGACTTTCCACAGAGGAACAGGATGTAGTAACGAGCAAGGATTCGATTATGGACTTGGAAACAACAAAGGTAAACCCTACCCCAGTATATTTCCTTTGTACTTACTTTGACTAGTGAGTGTGTTTCCTGTTGTGCTCATGACTGCATTAATATACTATATGCATTTTTTAAAAATCGGAAGAAATGGGTGAGGTTGAGGACGATAACAATGATGAGTCTAGCTAGGTCGCACAGCTGGCTGACCATGGTTGATCTTGAAAAGCTGAGCAGCACTGGATCTGGTTAGTCCTTGGATGGGAGACTAGCCGGAAAACTCAGGACAGTAGATTAGACTGGGAATAAACCACTCCTGCGGTGTTGCACTGAAAACTACATGGATGTGTTTACTAGGCACAGTTACTAGGAACAGAGCTTGGCTGGAAGAAGAGTTTAACTTTAAAAAAAAAATTGTATTCAGGTGGACCTTTAGTTGTAAAATAATGAACTATTATTCAAATCTACCCTCAGCTATAAAAGTTCCCGGAGTGATTCTGGGCCATTCTCTTTCTCACCTCAACCTGTTGCACAGGGTTACTGTTATGGGGAAAAATTAGAGGAGGAAGCGTTATGTATGTTGCCTTCAGCTTCTTCAGGAGAGATGGGATATCAATCTAATCCATATTAAATAAATAAATAAATAACTCTAACTCTAATGCCTAAATCAAAGCAGAAGAGTACAATTGCTTCTTTCTTGGAGGAGCATCAACAGAAATCATATAAAAAGTTAAGCCTTTATTCAACAGATTATTCTTCCACTTTGCAGCCTAGATTATTTCTGAAAATCTGAACATTTTAAAGCTTCCCCTCTCGAGAAGCTTGCTATTATGAAATTGTAAGCATTCACAATCCAGGACTTCATAAATGCTGGTGAACTGGCTGATAATGCTTTGTGGGGGAAATGTACTTTTGCGTGGAAGGTGCGCCTGGGGGTGGCTCTTCCCTTTGCTCCAGGAGTCTGCAGAGCCACTGCCTTCGAGTGCAGAAATGCTCGAGCCCCAAGGCTGGGGGTGTCTGTTCTGCCGGCACAAGGGGGTCTGGCTCCTGGCAAAAGGTGGCATTTTAAGGCAGGGCCCCTGCGCTTCCCAGCTTTCTAATGAAAACTAGGCAAAGGCTTCCTCCAGTTCTCGGTAGAAGAGAAGATTAATTCCAACTTTTTGCTACACATTGATGACTCCGGGTATTAAGCTACCTGTGGATATGATGTAGACCATTTTTAGTAGCTAGATTTATAAAATCAGATTAGTACATCTGGTGCCCAAGAATGCAGTGTACAATTTCAGAACGTGGAATTAAGTGAGTAGAGGTGAAACATAAATAGGTTTCCCTTTAGATTGCATTGTTTATGTACTAGCCAACAAAGGCAAAATGGGTTCTAAGTTAAGCAATTTGTTTCAGCAAGAAATGTGTCTAATGTTCGCTGGATCATAAATTTAATTTTTCTATAGCTAGAAATTTATCTTCTGGTGCATCATGCTACATTAGCCAGGTTTCTTTAAATCCAGTGTTAATGTTTTGGAGGAATAGCCAGACACCATGAACTTAGACCAAAATATTAAAAAGCTTATTTTTAAAATGTTCTCATATTTTCTGTATAATATAACACCAAGAATTCATGGTTCTCTTTCCTGGAAATATATAAGCAGGTGTTCCTTGCCTCTTCATTAATCCATACTATCTGAATTTTTAAAAAAAATAATCCAGGATATTTTTGCACTGGAGCTCCATTGATGTTATATATCTTCTTGCCTCATTTCTTTTTCATGTCTAATTTTTTTGAGCATCTGTACATCAAAAAATGAAAGTCCTTTCAGTAAGTGTATTCTTGGCCTTCTGGCACATACGTGTACTGAAAAGTGGGTGCGGCCTCGTGCCATTTGAAGGGAACGGATCCTCGTCCCATAATTATAGCTGCCTAACAAGCTCTTGGAGGAGAATCTGGCATATTGCACTGAAGACCCCCTGCCGAAAGAGCATCTTATAATCTCCCCAGGTTCTCCTTACAGACGTACTGTGATTTTGCAGATGCTTATCATCTCTTTTAGCTCAGCAAAAAGATGGGGCTTAGAATATCCACTCCTTTTTTGGAACTTTTGAAATTTCAGCTTCTAAGAAAGTTTAAGTCTACTGAAGTGATAGGTACATGTTACTCTTCTCCGTTATATATTATTATATATAATGCCTAAGATTATGAAGCTGAAGATTAAGAACCAGTGATTTGCTTTAGATGATCAAAGATATACAGACCTAAAAGAAGTGAAGGGGTGTCCTGTCTTTTAGATAAGAAGATGGATGTCTCAGAACCTTTTCAGAGATCCTGCCAGCTGTCTTAATTTTACTCATACGTTCTCCTCCAATACCTCCTGAGCATGGAGAGTGGGTTGGGATAGGTTAGGCAGACTCGTGGCTGAGGTCTTCCCAAATTAGACACCTCTGTTTTGAGGCAAAACTAGCCTACCTGATTTCCTCATTAGTTGGAATTTTTCAGTGTTAGAACAAGTACATTTCTCTTCATGTGGGTAGATTCCTAAAGACAGCAGCATTGAACAGTCCTTTCCTATCGCTAGGTTTAGACAGTGAATTGTGTATTCATTGCTAAAGTAGAACTTTCCTTTTAACTTCTGGCTAAAATTCCACCTTGAAAATGTTTAGAATTGCAATGAAGGGATAGTTTTCATAGGGGTAAGATCATACTCATTAATCATTCATATCATGGATTAAATTCCTCCTTCCTAGAACACACAGTGATAATAGTAACTTGTGCTCCAGATTTATCCATTCAAGTGAGACTTCAAAATGCTAATTAGATTTATGAAGGGCTCTCATTTTTTCTAGCCAATGAGATTCTCCTTGTGTCTTTGAGGCCTTCTCTTGAAAGTAGCTGAGTAAATCCACATAATAATTCAGATAGCATTTCTTCAGCCTACATGAGGAGGTGTCAGTACACAAACAGGCTGTAGGGCAGTAATTTCAGCACCTTCTTGTAACTGATCCTTTAATGGGGAAATAATTTTTCATTAGGCAATCTTCTTTCATGTATTGATGAGAGATGCCTGTGAACGGGATGTGGAATCTGCAAGATTATTGTTTGACTGTCGTATGTGTATAAGACAAAAGGTGGTTTTGATGGATTGCAAAATTATTAGAAGTCTGTTTATCCACTGGATTGAAGATTTGGACTTAGCATTTTGTTTAGTACGCCTTTGAAAGTGTGTAGAGAAGATGAATGGGGCATATCAGGAATCTCCCTCATGATGGAGTAAGATTTGAATAAGTATTAAGATTTACCAAGACAGTGCATACTTCTCCCCCAGAAAAGTCTGAAACTGCAGGAAGGATTATTTATTTAAACATTTATAACTTATGTTAATAATCATTTTACTTTCTTAATTTTTAATTAACAGGAATGTGCAGTTTGGCCAGTTGGCATTACAGTAATTAAAAATTCTTCCAGTAATAGAACAATTTAGTAGAGCAGGTGAAGTCACAAATAGGTGCATAGAAAATTACCTCATCACAGCCTTCCTAAACAAGAAGATTCCACCTCCCTGGTAGAAAAGGGTTGCCAACTGGAATGAGGCAATATGTAAAATTATATTTGAAATATGCAGCCACAGGATAGGCTAGCAGTGCCCCCCAGCACAAGACTCTGAGGGTCTGCAGTGGGAAAGGTGAAGAATTCAGAGGACTTCGACTCTGATTACAGGTGTTATCCATGGAATTGTTACCATAAAGAGACTTTATAAAAAAAGTTTTGGTTAATATTAGTAAAAGAAGGGAAATCTTGATGAGGCTGTTTAGGTAAGTTCAAAATATTTCTGATTTGAAATTAAATAGTGGAGACTTTTAAGGTGCTGTCTGTGCCTTCAGAATGTGTGGACAGAATAATCAGGAGTCTGTTGAAATGCTGTTTTCTGAGGAAAAACTCACAGACGTCATTAGAAAATATGTACTGTTAATAATACTGTGTAAACTGAGTGCAGCTGTCTGGGTTCCTCAGCTGCACAAAAGGGTGGCCCTTCCTATGAAGGGCACCTGTCGGTTTAGCTCTGTCATTTGCATATCCCGGGTATCTGCGGGAAGTGCCCCTGTACAAGAGCCACTGTTACACCATGACAGCAATACCATAGCAACAACATAACGACACTGCAGTAGGACAGGAGGTGCACATCCCTCCTTCCTCCTCCAGATGTTCTCCAGGGACAGCTTGGGACCCTCCAGGAGGGTTGGCAGTAATCTGGTGGGGTGGGGCAAGGGGGGAGTTCCCCAAAATAGGAACCACCCCTGTCTCTGCTTTAAGTATTCTACTAAAATTTACTTTTTCTTTTTCCTGTTGGCTATATATATATTTTTTTTCCAATTCTAAAATCTTTGTTCAGAAGCTCATAAGATTTGGGTTTGCTTTTAAGGTCAGGTTACATTCTTGTTCTTATTTTTAAAAGGAGTCTTAGGGAAGGATATTGGAAAAATGTTTTATGAATCATGCTTCTAATAATCTCTGTACATTTTGGCTTTGCAAAAATATTTGGTCAAATTGCTCATAATTCTACCAAATGTTTATTAATAACTGCATCATCCTGTTGTACTATGTCTTGCTAGAAGATAGTTCTTAATTACCACATTGCAGACCACGGTAGGCCTTATCAGTGCTTTGCTCTCAAATGAACGTTTTCTGCCCTTTTTGCAGGTAACAGGTTGTAGTTTTAACTGTTTTGCCCACTGCAGGTGACCAACTGAGCGCCCTATTGAATTCCATTCAGTCACGGCCTAGTCTCCCAGCTCCTTCCATCTTTGATCAAGCTGCAAATCCTCCCTCTTCCCTAATCCACAGCCCATTTGTGTTTGGACAGTCCCTTCCCTTCCAGCAACCTCAGCCACAGCTTCAGAGTAAGTCTGTCAGCCTTTCCTGCCTCATCCGTCTGTTTCAGAAGCTGCGCCGTTGCTATCCTCACCTCGGTTGCGTATCAGCTGCTAATCACCACCTCCTTTCTCTGCCACTACGTTGGCTTCCCATCACATGGAAGCAAATGCAAGGTTTACCTGTAATTATTAGGGACTGTTGCCCTGACCTTTTGATTATATTCTGTGGTATCGATAGTGTATTTACAGAAGTGTTTGTAAGAACATTTTCTGAGTTTAATTCAGTGAAAGAATTCTCCGATCTTACAGTGTCTGTAACACTTGAAATTTCCCATAAGTATTGTTACATCTTGAGCTGTGGTGTACAAGTTTGTTGTGGTTATTACCGAGCTATTGTTTTAAACTGAAGTATTGATATCAAAGCTGATGACTAATTGGTTTCTTTTTCTTAATTTCTGCATAATATGGGAATTTCACTAATTCTGTGAAGATCTTTTTTCATTATGTTGAAAATTTGGATGGTCATATTGTTTTGCTATTACAGAGCCATTAGCTTCTATCGAAGTTGTTTAGCAAGCTTATCAGGAGGAGCTGTTGCTTAAGCAGTCTGCTCCAGTAATTTTTCTTTGTAAGAGAAAGAAAGGAATTCTGCACTGCCGTTCCAGAGGGAGCCTCCATTTAGGCCTTGACTCTTGCCTGTTTTCAAAGCATTCTTGGTCTTCTCCATAAAGGGAATATGCCGTACAATTCTTGATGCCTTTTCATCCTCAATTGGGAGCACCAGAAGACCGCACCGTTCTGGCCAATCCGGAAACAAGATGGCTTTCCCCCAATCAAGGTGACAAAAGAAAAGCTTCAGAATAAGAAACGCAACAGAAATAAAGTCCTCACTTCAACTTACCAATTTTGGTAGCCTTTGAGAACAGCAAGACTATTTTTAAATGGTCCACACAGATTTGTGTGCATTCTTCCTCCCAACTTATTCCTCATGCCTATTCCTGATTTTGAGGTGGCTATAGGAAACTACAGCTAACATCCCTTTGGAGATCAAGGGCCTGTAGAAATCAGTGGAAGTGCCGTTGGCCCAGTTGTTTGGTCTGAGTAGCTAGAATCCTCCTCTTCTTGAGTCTCAAGAGACCCAAATCTACTGTTTGCCACCCATTATTTTTAGAGAGTTTGGCCAGCTCCGCTTGGTGGAAAGAAACTTCAGGAAGTATTTTCAGAGGGTTAAAAAAAGAGAGAATCCACCAGTAAGAGGAAGTAGAGGATTATATCTGGCTGTATGGATCCGTTCCACCCACCTTGGCTTCATCAGAGGGTATAAGGGACATTACAGGCATTTTTATGATTAAGTCTTTGGATTCCTCAGTAGAAAATTTAAAAACAATCCTCAGCCAAAAAATAATAGTTCCCGTGCAATTAATAAGCCAGCTAACATCTTTGGGGTTCAAGGACATTCTACTGACTGCCTTGATATAGGCTAGACTTTGTTCTTTACAGGTGTATGTCATCAGTCTGACTGAAATCTTCCTCAATGCCCAAAGCTTGATGTTTTCTTTCTCTTCTCCTCAAAATATCTATTTGGAAAGGGTAGCTGTTCCTCTTCTTAAAAATACAACACAGAGACAGGGCGGTAGATTTTAATTGTCATGTATCTGAAATCTTGTGCAGATCTGAAGTAGAAACTTTGAATAACTTCAGATCTATGCTTGATTCTTTTTTATTAGAGCTATATTTTTGTGAGTAGATAAAATTGAAATATAATGCCAACTATCAGCTCTTTGTAACAGAAAATTACTTGACAGCAAGTTGAACTTCAGTGTCGGGGGAACCACCTTAACTTTCCAGCACTATATCTTGCTAAGATACCGGATGATGATAATCCTCCATCCTGCCTGAGGCCATGATATTAAGATTTATGTTCAGATGAACAGAAAAGCAGTGGGATTTACAGCTGAGCCTGTGAAAGATCATTGACTCTGGCTAAAGAGGAGCTCTCTATGTTATTCTACTGTATATCTGAGGAAAAATGTTTTTCTTACCGGAAAAAGGTGAGCAGTTTTGAGTAGTCTTCCCTTTGGAATGACAAAAAAGAAAAGGAATTACTTATGGAAGCTTGACAAATCCTTTCAATCAATAAAAAGCTACTCAAGTGAATCCACATGGGAAAAGTGACATAGAGTTGGGATCAACCAGAAGAGAGTCTCCTTGATTCTAACTAAGTTTCACTGAATCTATCCAAATAGACAGCTCCATAAATTCTCTAAAACTGTTCAAATTCTGTGGAATATTATGAATTACCATCCTGGCAGGCTGAGGTGGGGGAAGTGGGGATTCCTGAGATCGCTGGACTTGGTAGGTGGAGTCAACACTGGTAAGGATGTGCTTGTTGCACCATACACATTTTATAAGTAATAATAGAGATTTTGAATTGGGCCTGGAAGCTAATAGGAATCCAGTGCAGTAGCATTAAAACTGGTGTTACCCTGGGGTGGCAGAATTATCTCACCAGTCATCAGGCTGCTGCATTCTGGACTAATTGAAGTCATCTTCAAACGCTGCACCAAGTGGAGAGCATTGTGCAGTAATCCAACCATGTGATGATTGTGGAGTAAATCACTGTGGCCAGTTGAGGTAGCACCACAGCTGGCATCTCCAGTGAAGCTGGACAAAGACTCCCTGGCCATTGTGCCCATCTGCCATTGTAAATTGGAACTGTGAGTCTGGAAGAACTCCCAAATCATAGACCACCTGTGACCCCATCCAGAGAAACTACCAAGACTGTTGCAACTGTTTATTGACAAAAAACAATTCAGTCTTAGAAGAATCTGAGTTTGTTTTGCACCCTCCAGATGCTAGCAGCCTCCAGACTCTGATTCATGCTGTCCACTGGTTCAGTTTTATCTGCATCTCATGGAGCTTTCATATGTAATAAAGTACTGTGGGCATTTCTGGCAAGAGGATACAACTTTAAGACAGAATAGATCCTCCAAGGAAAATATTTCAGCTTACGAGTATCTTACCCACTGTCTCTTATTTGCATTTTCTTTACCTTTGGCCCTCAAACTTCTGTTTTGTACAGAACCCTCAATAAAATATTAAGTGTTTTGTCACTGAAATAATATATATTTCACATTTTGACTAATTTTTCATTGCTGATGGAATTCTTGAGAAATATGTAACTTTAAAAATGATTATTTTAATAGGTTTATAAACTTTCAAAAAGTTCATTGATTTAAATCAAAAGTAATTTATTTGGGATGAAAAGATGCACAGCTTACTTTTGGTGAAAAGTCTGGATTTTCATTGGCGTGAGATTTCATAAAATGATTTTTTTTTTAGGCACATATATATGTCTTCCATACAAAAGCTTCTGTTATGTATGGATTTTTTTTTCAGGTATGAGAGTAGATTTTGCCAAGTAGAGTGGACATTCTTGAGGCTTTTATTCACCAATGTTTTAAGAATATCTGGTTCTTAAGCTCATATTCTCAAATCCAGGGATTTTTAAGCATGATTAAATGCAAGTTCATTTCATTATCATCCATTTACATCCATTATTAAGGTTTAGCTTTCTTCACTGCTGCAATTTTCCAAGGTTTAACGAATAATCATGGGCTCGCTTAGTGGAAGTGGACGTTCAACAGTAAAAAACTCAAAGGTCTTGAAGGTGGCTTTCTTCAGAGCAAAATCAGAAGCAGTTTGTGAGGCTGTTGAGGCAGTCACACTCTGAGAATCAAAATCAGAATCTGTTTGCTTTCGCCACCTCTGATGATTTATTTTTGAGTTTGAAGACACTTCAGTCTCTTCAGTCTCCTAACAACATCATGATATACTCTCATAGCTGTTTTTGCTAAAGGAAATACGGAGCCCTTAATTATTGTATAATTGGCATAAACTCAGCACAAAGCAAAATATTATGTTCATGAACTCCCTTTTAAAGCCATGAGTTAAGATATGTTTTTTTTACCTGATGCAGGATTACCAGTCAATAGGTTTGGGAAGCATTCAAAAGCATCCATGCAAAGCATTCCACCTCAGAGCTTTAAAGCAGCTGCATCCTCTCAGAGGTTTGGCATGGCATCACCGGCCAACTTGGCTGGTGGTTTTGGTGTAAACATTGTCTGTGTATGTAGAGAGGGCCCAGGAAAAGCCTTTGAAGTGTCTGTGCTGACCCTTTTAGAGGATATAGCTGCTTTAACACTTCAAGGAAGGGCATTGGCGTGTCCCAGGACTCTTGGCAAAGGGATGCTTCCTCATACTTGGCACATTGCCCATCAAGAATGACTCTCTTATAACTCTTGTGAACTGCTGCAGTGATGGGAGTGCCCAGTCTGAGTTTTGGATAGTTCATGTAACAGCCAAACTACTCATCACATTGCAGTTTGGCAGAGGGCCTAATGGAAGCTTGAATGAAATAAAAAAATCATAACTTCAGCTCACAAGACTTGTGGGAAAAAACCCCTCTCTGCTGCTTTGAAAAGGAAATCAAACTCTGTGTTTACTTTCTGAGTCCTTTTTCCCTGCATTCTTTTATAGCCAAAAGCCAAACTATAAGAAATAGTCTTTGCATGTGGTTTTCTAAAAACATGTAGGTTTTACAAACTCAGCTGAAAATTAATAGGATCGGAAGAAGCACAGAAAGACCTTTAATCCTTTTCTATCTAAGAAAATCTTTCCTTTCAACTGTTACCTTAATTGGGAGAAAACGCAACACCAGCACTGAAATAAATAACTTTCATATTCCTTGTTGTTTTGCCATGAGCTGAGGAGCACTTGATGTGAACAGGGTATTACGAGGTGATGAGAAAGGACAGTAGCATTTTGCCTTCTACCGCAGGAACCACGTTTGCCTGATGACAGTCTAGTCCGTCCTGTGTGTAAGGAAATCCCAGTGTATTCATTTGGGTTAATGTTTGAGAAAGGGTGCCAAGCGTTTGCAGTTTACTGTTCACTTTAACTTTAGACACAATTCCTTCTTTAGAGAATGCATGCCAGTATTCTTCCTCCTTCCAATCCCACCCACTCACATGCCCTGTGCTGTTTGGAAAATCTCACAGATTTCTGAATAGTGTAAAATAAGAATTTTTATTCACAGTAGCTTTGATTGATAAGTCCCTGTTGTATGCAGACCTGGGTCAGACTCTAACTAGGAGATCACCTAACGAGTCCAAGGCAGTTTTACATATCTTTATGGCACTTCCCACTCACACAAGTTAGTTTTGAATCCAAGGGAGCCACAAAAGCATGTGAGAAGGGATGTAGAGATCAGTGTTAAAAGAAAAGGACAGTTGTACAGAGTACAGACAAGCTGCTAGACTACTCAGCAGGAGTGCTTTCTTCCAATTTGACATTTGTGTAATAAGATTGGTCTTCCACCCCATCAGCAGAAGGCCGCGGTTTAGGCAAACTTAGAAGAACTCAGGAGTGTTCTGGAAGATCCTACAGGGTCACCTGAATCTCTTGTGGAGACCCAAAGGCTCAGTCCCCTTGCCCATCCCACTCCTCACATAGCGGAGGTGGGCTTTCTCTTCCTGGAAGCCCTCTTTCCCTTCGTCCATGTTTACAGAGAGCAGGACTAGCCTGGGAGGATTTAAAAGATAAATGTACAGAGGCGGCTGGCCCTACTCCAAAAGAGCAGATGACTGTAGTACAATTAATGCTTTGTACGTTTAATCTTTTCTTACTTTATAATGACCAAACAAGTCTCCTACGTAAAGGCAAGACAGGGAACATTCACATGGGTTACAGAGTAATGCTTGGCTGTGCAGACTTTCCCAAAGCTGAACAATAACAGGGAGGCAGGAAAAAAGGAAAATAGTGCAAAATTGTTCCTTAGGCGCTGAGTCATTGTTAAAGTTTCCTGAAATGTTTGCTGCTCCTCTAAAAATCTGGTTAGGTTTTCCATAATGCGCTGTTGAAAAGCCACACAAGATGCCTTGCTTGAGACCCCTAGAACAATTCTTGAACAGTGAATGGAAGGGCGTTGGATTTTGTCCCACCTCTGGATTGCTTGCTTTGCTGGTTTTATCTTGGCTCCTTTCCATTCAATCTGTGCTGCTTCTTCTGTGCCACTGTTTTCCCCTCCAGAAACTCCACCCCGCGGCCTTGCTTGTCGTGAACGCATTGACCAAAGTAGTGACGCAGCCGCGCCTGCCTCCGCTCTCTCATCTCTCTCATACAAGCTCAAGGGTGGGTATG